CGAAGCATACCCAGCAAACCTTACCACTAGTGGTTGCCAGGGAAGAGGCAAGGAGAAAACTTGTGGCTATGGTGTAACCATTCTGTCAGTCCTTTGCCACGAGTAATTAGATCTGTCCAGTCACCTGTAGAGGAGGCTGTTCTTCATTTTAAGGTGAGGCTGCCAATTCATGAACATGTGAGTTCAAGTCCTTCAGGTTGCTAAGAAGTGAAGCTGGCACACAAACCCGGGTGGTGGGTGGCAGGACACAGGCTCAGGTACTTGGTATTAAGAGGGACAGAAGGGAGACAACTGCAACCTTAAGGTGTTCCCCGATGAGCAGACTCTCTGTGTGCATCGCTGGGCAGCAAGTCAGAAGCCATGGACCACAGGGCCCAAAGCCATGGCTTGAGACCCAGAGGTTTGGAAAACTCCCGCTGTCGTGTTCAGGAACATTCCAAGCAAAGTTTGCTTAGGGGCCCAGAATAGCAAGTCCTAGCCAAAAAAGGATAATTATTCAGTTACACGAGAACTGAAAATTAGGGAGTTAGAGCCAGAGCACGCTTCATAACTATTTTGAGTCCCCTAGCTATCGCTGTGTTCTTTTAGCAGAGGCATGTCCGCCCGCCAAGGGGAATTCTTTTATCTCATCTCACTGATAGAGCACGCAAAATAGTTACTGAAAGCCTCAGCTGTCACTTCTGCACAAACAAATGGGATGCAGCAGGCAGCCATCCCCACACCACAGATATTTTTAGACATAGGTGGCTTCCGTCTAGAAGGCTAACATATCAGGGAGAGAGAGTCCAGTCCCAGAATAGCAGGGCCACACACTCAGCCTCATGCAGCCTTAGTGTGCAGGCTTCCAGAATCAGGCACTCTTAACTGTTCTGGTCAGCTGAGAAAGACAGGCACCTCCTGCCAGAGACATCCCCAGGCTACAGAGGGCCTTGTTCTGGGTGATTTGCTACCAGAACTATCTCTGGGTTTGGGTGGACAAGGACAGTCTACACCACTAGTGTTCCGTTGACCAATATCAGCTCCAAATGTGGCCTTTGACTTTAAACAGGACATATTTAATACTTGCTGTGTTTGGGGTCTTTTGTGATGAGATCCAGGCTGTCCCAACTTCCTACAGCTTTCCCGACTTGTGTCCTCTAATTGAACCAGGAGTCCTTTGCTTGTTTGGAAAGATCACACACCCCAAGTGCCAGTGGGCAGTAGGGATAGGCCACTCTCTCTCTCCCCATGTCTAGTCAATTTAGAGGTCACATGACATACCAGGACTTGGCAAAGCCCCAGCTTTCACCAGCAAAGCCTCTTAGATATGCGGAGGGTCTCCTCGGGGTTGTTTTATGACCTTTACTTCATTTATACACTTACTAGATTAAAATAAGAAAAGCTGTTATTTAGAGGTCACATGACATACCAGGACTTGGCAAAGCCCCAGCTTTCACTAGCAAAGCCTCTTAGATATGCGGAGGGTCTCTTTGGTATTGGTTTATGACCTTTATTTCATTTATACACTTACTAGATTAAAATAAGAAAAGCTGTTTTTTTTTTATTTCTTTGCCACCATTGTTGGGCTTTTCACTTTTTTGTATAGATACAACATCTTCCTTGCTTTGTCTTTTGACTGAAGAACTTTCTTTCTTTCTTTTTAAAGACCTAATTTTATTTATTATGTGTACACTGTTCTGCCTGCATGTCAGAAGAGGGCTCCAGATTTCATTATCAATGTTTGTGATCCACAACATGGTTGCTGGGAATTGAACTCAGGACCTCTGGGAAAGCAGCCAGTGCTCTTAACCTCTGAGCCATCTCTCCAGCTCAAATGAAGAACTTTCTTTAATCTTCCTTGAGGCACACACGGGTCTGCTTTTGTTGTTTAAAAAAAAAAATCCTTGGGGGGGGAGAGGGAGGGGCTGGGGGGCTTTAATCCCAGCACTAGAGAGGCAGAGGCAGGCAGAACTCTGAGTTCCAGGCCAGGAGGTCAGCCTGGTCTACAGAGCAGACCTACTTCCAGGACAGGCCCCCATCCTAGAAAATAACCTCTTCTGGGCATGATGCAGGGGGCTGGGCCCACCACACGAGGGCAGCTACTGCTGCTGCTCCAGGAGGACTTGGGAAATGCATGCCTTGTGTGCTGTGCCTATTCCCTGCCTTCCTTGTCCTTATCACTGGCATTCAGCAGAGCCTTTCTCATGGGAAACTGGCCAGTCTCAGGCCTGCCAGAGTTCCAGCCCCCAGCAATTCTACACAGGCTCCAGCTTGGGCGCTGTCAGTTTGCTACACGGAACAAGGCCCCTACTTTCTCTGGGTAGTCTTTTCTTTCTCCACTTGGCCAACGTGCTGTGCTCATTCATGAAACTCGGGTGAGTTGGAGTTCTTCAGCCCAGCTGTGATGGGTCCCAGCAACTGTAAGGTTTTGTAGTTGTTTAGAGAGAGAATTGTGACATTTGTACACCCTAACTGGGAACAGCAGTGTGTCACCTTATTCTCTTTCTCGCTCTCTCTCGTGTGTGTGTGTGTGTGTGTGTGTGTGTGTGTGTGTGTGTGAGAGAGAGAGAGAGAGAGAGAGAGAGAGAGAGAGAGAGAATGTGTTTTGTATATGCATGCCTACACAGCGGGTACAAGTACACTTGCCTGTGTATATCACATGGAAGCCAGGGTTCAATATCAAGTGTTTTCCTCTCTCACTCCCTGAAAAGTTTCTGAACCCCGATAAGGATCTCCGCCCATGCAGTAATCCAAATCAAACTAAATTAGTCAAAGCCCGTGTTTAATGGATACAATGCTCCTGGATGACTTTCCAACCCCTCAGAGAGGAGACAGGAAAGAGAGACTGGAAAACCACCAGTCTATTTTCTGGAAGGCAGTTGAAATACCCTGTGGGAGTGGTCTTGAGCATCTCTGGGGGAGGGGTCATCATTTGGTGGACTTTCTGAGATGCAGCAGGTTTGGAGAGAGATAGGGGAGGGGGCTTGAGTGGAACCTCCACCATACCATTCCAGACTCTTTGGGTAGATGGATACCAGGGGCTGAGGTGAAGCTTCTACCATAACACTCTCCACTTCATTGTTTGAGAGAAGATCTCTCACTGAACCTGCAGAATCCAGTTGCAGCTACTCTGGCTGGCCCACTGGGCCCCCAGGATCTGCCTGTCTACCCCCTCCCTTACACCTGCGGCTCTGGATTGCAGGCACACACTGCAGCTTTTACAGGGGATCCGAACCCATGTCCTCATGCTTTCACAGTGGGACTTTACCTACTAAACCACCTCCCCAGCTCCAACCTACCTTATTTTCTTTTCCATTGTCATGTTGGGAATGACTGAGGGTCTTCTCTGCCAGTGAGCCAGGCTCCTAGCCAGATTCACAGTCTGGTGATGCCATTTCAGGTTGCTCATGTTTGCGGAAACGTGTATATGCATGTTGGAGCCGCTGCTCTCCCCAAGCATGTGTTTCCCATGAGAGGCAATTGTATTTAGGGGGCACCATGTAGACTCCCATGAGACTCACTCCTGCCTCTGGTCTCGAGTTGCATGCTCAGCCACACGTGCCCACGTTGCAGGGAACCCTCAGGCCTGCTTGCTCTGCGCCATTTTCCAAAATATGCACATCTGAGTTTTAATGACAGCCCTGATGGCCCCTGTTCCAGCCCCGAATCTGGCACAGAGGAGCACCTGGGCATGATGGCAACCACAGCCATTGCCATGGGGATGTTTACAAAGATCCAATAAGGCCATCAGTTCCTTAGGACAGCCACTGACCCCAAGCCCTCGTAAAGGGCTTTCTTCTTATGACATCTGTCTTGGGGGATGTGAGTTGGGAAGGCAGATGGAGCCCGTGCCTTTTCCCTCCACTTCAAGAGGATATTTGATTCCCATGTTCTACCCTGGAAGGTGACTCAGGAGAGCACCAAGGGCAGTATTCACTTCGGAATGGTTTGTTCTGCTTCATTTAATGAGTCCATGACCGCAAGCTGTTCTGGACCAGCCTTCACTGACTCTCCGTAGGAAGCCTTGCCTCCCTCTACTGTGGTGGCAGGGAGTCCTAAGACACCCAGAGGGGCCCAGAATGAGTGGCTTACTGTGGGCTGCGGGACTCCAGTGTCTCTGGCAGAAGTAAATCCCATGTCTGCCTTCAATCCCCAGAATCCACATTGTGGGGAAAGAGTCAGTTCCTACAAGTCATCCTCTGGCATCCATGTTGTCGTGACCCAGCATGTCTCAGCCTTAGTCCATGAGGGGGTGTGTGGAAGCTCCGAGCAACCCAACGGCGATAAAGACCAAACACAGGCATCTTGTCATCTTCAGAGAGCTCTCAGTTCCATGTTGTGGAACTAGAGTCATTTCTTTATTAGCCATCTTTTCTGGTGTTTCTTAACCATCCTGCTAATACCACGCGGCAACCATTTCTCTCTTTGTTCCCTCGCTGTTCTGGCTGTTTACAGCAGCCAGAGACTGGGACCCAAAATATTCCATAACAGAGATATTCGGTCCCCCACACCATGCACCATATACACATGGTCTCCCTCTCACACACACACTCACTGGATGAATGAATGAATGAATGAATGAATGAATGAATGAATGTGAAAGCAGTCAGAGGACTTTGCCTAAGCCAGCAGGTCTCCTTCAGATCCTTGCCCACAGCCTCTTCTTCCCTACTGATGGGCCACTGTCATTGAGTCATGTAGGTGACCACTTAGTGTGGTGACCTTTGGTAGGCTGGCAACAGGAGCATGAATCAGTGCAAGGCCTGTAGCCTTGTCCTCAGTCTCTTGGCCTAAGGCTATAGCAGGCACTTGGCACCTCACCCTCTAATAGTTGGACTAATAGCCTACTGGTAAAGGACATCTGGGACTGGCCATGAACTATCTAGGATCCTTACCTGCTACACCCAGGGCTCTGCCTTGGGGCCTTGGCTTCTGGGAGGAGGGGAAGGATTGCTTTGCCACTAGCTAGACAAGGCTTCGTCCCAGCCACGTCCTCTGACAGCCTCTTTTTGTACCTACAGGAGCTACGGGGAGCTCACCTACTGTACCAAGCATGTGGCAAACAAGATTGGCTGTTTCTGGCCCAACCCAGAAGTAGACAAATTCTTCATCGCTGTCCACCATCACTACTTCAGCAAATGCCCCATCTCTGGCAGAGCGCTGCGGGATCCGCCCACCAGCATCCTCTGCCCTTTCATCATGCTCCCCATCACAGTCACACTGCTCATGACTGCATTGGTGGTCTGGAGGAGCAAGCACTCAGAGGGCATCGTGTAGGTATCCCGGGCGATAGGGAGTTGGAGCATTATGGGCCTGGCTCAGCAACAACATCGTGATGATAGCAAGGCAGGCCCCGAGTTGCATCCTGCTCTAACCTAGTTAGCACAGGACTTCCGAGTGGCTCTGCATTAAGCTGAATGTGCTCTAGGTGGAGGACTCTGCCAAGGGAGCAGGAGCATGTCTCTACTTCCCCTTGAAAGAGTTCTAAGTGCCAGATCTCTGGTATATGCCTCACTAGTGTGGACTTTCTTGACCTCCAAGCAAGACTGCATAGACATGTTTGTGAATGCATGGTTTGTGATTAAAAGAGTATTCTTAAACTTGGGAAGTGTTTGGGGCTGGAGAGATGACTCAGAGTTTAAGAGCTCTGGCTGTTCTTCTAAAGGTCCTGAGTTCAATTCCCAGCAGCCACATGGTGGCTCACAACCATCTGTAATGAGATCTGGCTCCCTCTTCTGGCCTGCAGGCATACATGCAGACAGAACACTGTATACATAATAAATAAATCTTTAAAACAACAACTTGGGAAGTGTTCTAAATTCTAAGTAGAAATAACCTATACAGGGAGACAAAGAGTGGGAGGAAAATCAAGCCACCTCTGCAGGTCTGTCTTTTGCTAATGGGGTTTATCTCAGGGTTCTGAATGGATGACACTCAAGTCTAAGGTGCCCTGTGTGTGCTCAGGGGTTCCAAAGTGTTTCTGGTGCTTTTGGCCTCTACTACACAGTGCCTGCTCTCTTTTTTCCTTCCCCCGCCCCCGAGACAGGGTTTCTCTGTGTAGCTCTAGCTGTCCTGGAACTTCTCCTCAAACTTACAGAGACCCTCCTATCTCTGCCTCCCCAGTGCTGGGAATAAAGGTGTGCACAGTCCCTGCTTTAAGTCCTTGGAAATAATCATATACATTCAACACCATCAAGAACACCTAATATGCTGAGCAGTGGTGGTGCACGCCTGTAATCCCAGCACTTGGAGGCAGAGGCAGGTGGATCTCTGTGAGTTGGAGGCCAGCCTGGTCTACAGAGTGAGTGCTAGGAGAGGCTCCAAAGCTACACAGAGAAACCCTGTCTCTAAAAAACAAAACCCACCTAATATGAGCCAGATCTAAGGGCCCTTTGATCACACTACCTTCCCTAAGAAAACCCCAATACACAGGACAAGTGAAGGCCAAGAGGTGCCAGGGATGTGACTTCCTCCTCTACTCATCACTGCCCCTTTGGTCCCTGGTGTAGGGACCCAGCCCCCACGGGGTCTCTAAGGGTTGTTTTCCAGCATAACCACAGGTACCTCCTGTTCCTGACCCTACTGGGATCAATATCCTGTTGTGAACCCTTTGACCTGGGGTTTTTGTAAGTTTGTATATAAGGCTGATCCACAATAAAGGTGGGAGACATTCTCTCAGAAAAGGACCAGGAGTCTTGTGGTTCATCCAAATCTCCAGGCTTTCGCCCGATACTCAATACTCGGAATTAGTGTTGGCCAAGAGCAGCCACACCCTGGGAGGCCACAGACAGCAGTGATAATATTAATTTGAAGATTGAGCTATGGCAGTGCATATCTGGAATTGAAGCACTTTGGGGGCTGAGTGAGGTAGGATTGCTGTGAGGTTGGGGCTAGCCTGGGCTACATAGGGATACCCTGTTTAAAAAAAAAACAAAGCTGAGGGAGAAGGGGAAGAGGGAAGAAGAGAGGGAGGGACAAAGGAAAATGAGATTGGACTCATTTGCCTGAACTGGAGACCAGCCTGCCTTCCAGGGCTTTGACAAGGAAAGCTACAAGGTGGGAAAAAAAACAAGACTTCCCTAAGTCACAGAATCCAATAACAGCCAGAGAACTGGAGACCTTGGCTCGGGAAATGGAGCTGACCCAGTGTGCTGTTCCCTGAGCTGCTCGTATTAACGAGCTTGCAGGGTTTCCGGTAAACCAAGAAGGCTAGAGACTGAGGTCATCTTGAAAGCCCAGGCCATCGATCCGAATGTGCTCAGCTAAGCAGGGGGCAATGGTGAGCCCAAGACACCTCGCCTATCATACTGCTAGGGAAGCTTGGTCCACTGGGAGCAGATCATGATCCATTCATCAAAAAAGAGCATTAGTGGTGTCTTCCTGAAGACAAGTCAGAAGTGTGGGCCAGAAGTCTTGAGTGTTTGTTCTCAGTGATTTCTCTTCTAGGAACTCATCCCAAGTACGTAATTAGATGTGCAAAATGGCCCATGGGGACTACGAGCGAGCGGAAGAGAGGAGACACCCTCAGTGGCCTGACAGAAGGACTGCTCCATCAGATTAACTCCAGATGACAGAAGGCAACTCTGTTTCCTTAAATGACATATGTGGGGGCGTGTTTCACAGGACACGGAGTTCATTGAAAAGGGCGGATTTTAAAACAGAAAATCAAGGTGACCTCTATGTTGTATTTGCTTACACTTGCAGTCCCTGTCCCCAGGCTGCATTACGCTGGGGGAGGGCCTCCCAGAAGACAGAGCAACACAAACAGGAACGTACCTGGCTGCTGCCTTCCCAGTTGCTGGACACCGTTTGCTGGTGAAGGGTGACAGAGAGCAACCTGAACTAGCTGTGTATCCTTGAGCAACTAACTCATCTCTGGTAGCCATGGGGGAGATGACTTGGAGTATGCAAGCCATCTGCCTTTTCCCAGTGATGGTGTTTGAACTCCTGAAAGACCAAGTAGCCAGTCAGAGGAGCCTCATCCTTAGGGCCAGGCAGTATGAGTGATGCCTGAGGGAAGACGAGAGATGAACACAGGGAGGTGGTGAAACACATTTTTAAAAAGATTTCAAAATTTATATTGACAAGTGTATAAGCATTTTTCCTGCACACATGTATGTACACATGCCCTGCCTGATGCCATCGGAGGTCAGAAGTAGGTGTCAGAACCCCTGAAGATTACAGATGGTTGTGAGCTGCCGTGTGGGTGCTGGGAACGGAATCTGGGTTTTCTGCAGGAGTAGTAAGCGTTTAACTAAGCCATCTCTCCAGCCCTGAGATGCTTTCCTCTGTGGTTCACCTCCACGGTGAGCATAGAAGACCTACAGCACAGCACTTTTCAAGGCTATTCAGAAGAGCCAATTCCTTATGGGACTAAGCCAAGACAGGCTATGGGGCTGCCAACTTTACTCTGTCTATCCATGCATGTCAGAGATAGACAGTCCCTGAGAGGGGCAACTTACAAAACGATCCCTTGTCTCGAACCCACCCCAACCACATTTGCTTTCTAGCCACACACCATGCAGGACTTTCTCCAACACGCTGGCAAGAGGCTGGAGAAACTTGTTTTCTTGTCACTCCTGGAGTTAGGGCAGGAAGTGGATAGAGGTGCCTGGAGGGCAAGGGCAGGTGGCAACTTCTGTTCTTGTTCAGCACGGGCCGCCATGACAGCGTCTGCACCCAGGCTCAGCTGCCACAGTCTTCTGCCCCTGGAGGCGCAGGAGGCTTCGATGCAGGGCTCAGACCACCACCCAAGAGAGAGGGGCAGAGCTTGCTCCCAGTCCACCCGTAGCACCAGAGCCTCTGCCCCTTGAAGGGGCCAGTACCTCAAAGACTATTGGCTGAATGAGTTCCCATAACAATTTCCCCACAACACATGGGGATCTCGGTTCAATCCCAGAACCCATAATGAAAAACAAAAGCAAACAGGCCCAGTGGTGCCCACTAGTAATCCCAGTGCTAAGAAGACAAACAAGTAGGTGACTCTCTAGGGGCCACTGGCCAGTGAGCCAACCCAGACCAATGAGACTTCCATGTGAATATCTATAGGCCTCACCCCCATACACAAATGCAAAGCTGTCATGTACAAGTGATGATAGCAAACTGCCTGGGTCAAATCAGATGCCAAGTCCACCAATGGAGAGGCAAGTCAATCCAATCAGATGCCAGCTCTGCCAAAAGGGAGGCAAGCCAGTGACTCCCTGCCCCTCTGTTTCCTACCTACCAAGGAATGACCGTGGGCCTCAGACAGTTCAGTATTTGCAAAGAGAGCCCTTGACAGGCCCCAGTATGTCGCAAGTGGCCATTTCACTTTGGCCATGGGGACTCATCTTCGACTACTGCTGTAAGACCCCCAGAAAGCTCAGGCTTCCAGGATCTTAGCCCAGGACCGCAGCCACCCCAATCACAGAATGGAGGCAAAGCTTGATGCAAATTTCATGAGGCTTTATTGTAGTTTAACGAGCTAACCCCATGTTAGCGAGGGTCTTTGATCCACCCACCATGTCGGATGGCTAGCAAAGACTGTTCAAAGCCGCTGCTTACAGATCTTTATAGGGCAGCGTAAGGGGAGTGTCTAGGGGTATGCACAGGCTCAGGATTGGTGTGCCTCCAGGCTTGGATGGTTTGCCCTGTGGGTGCTATTATTTCTGCGTCATTGCTGTGTGCTTGTCCGTAAAGCACACCCAGAGCCATAAAGCATAGCGCCACCAGCTAACTTCTGATTGGTTCCTTGCCACGAGGCAGGCATCTGACCTCTAAGTGACCAAGGCAAGGTTATGGCAAGCACGTGTTCAGCTGTTATGGCTGCCGAAATGGGGAGCTGGCCCCTTCACTGCATGTGTGGGACTGTCCCGACTGGGTTGTGTACCTTTCTACCTCTCAACACGTCATGTTCTGTCACCGAGAGGCTGGAAGGTGAGTGGCTAAGAGAACACTTACTAGTGCTAACAACAGGAACTACTAGCACCTTGGAGGACCTTCCTCCTTCCCTTTTGCATCAGACAGACTTGCAACAGTCCCTGGGGACGGCATTGCAGACCCCACAGGCCTCGGCCTAGAGGGAAGCAATTCCCCAGGCTGGAAACCTGACTTCAAGGTGTCAGCAGACTTGGCTCCTCCCAGGGGCTTGCAGATTCCAGTCACTGTGATAAGGTCCACCCAACAACCTCACCTGTGCATAACTACCTCTTTAAAGATCCTCCCTTAAAATAGGGATCTGAGGTCCTGGGACTTAGGACCCCAACATATGAATTTCAGTGTCTGTTGGAGGGACAACTTGCCC